TGTCCAATCCCCTTTCCAGCTCTTTTTTGACCCTTTCTATTTCTTTTTGTTCATCGTTTTTTGCGCTTTTTTCATTGTTATCGCTTTATTCTAGAGTAGTTCTATGAATTCCCGTCAAAAAAGGGTACCCTAAATTTATCGTAAACGGTGCCTTTAAGTGGAATTTAAGTTTATTGAGGATTTTTCGAGTTTCTTTCGAAATAAACGGTTCAGGATTCCATAAATGGCGATCAAAGTTTTTCTCTGGTCCGGATACAGCTTGAATCGAACTCGCTAAGGTACCATGGCGTTGAAGGGAACAGTTGGGGATCTTTGTCAGGAGTATAGAAGCGGACAGGAAACTTTAGTTGAAATGGTTCCACCTGGCTTAGGTCTGTTCAGTTAGTCACGGTAAGGCTTTACTCATGGGGCTGACCAGAGTAGACATCCATACCACCTTACCAGGATACCGGCCTGGTCCCGTGATCCAGAATGAAGAGGTACCAAAATTTGCAGGTTTTCCATCTCTATCTTGGCTGCCATGAGATTTTCGAATTCCCGCCGTTGCCTGCGCACAGTAGTTCCCACATAACGATTACGCCATTCAAATTCATTGGTGAACAAAAAACTCAAACGAATCGTAATTTATTTATCGCTATTAGAGTAGTAACGGAACATTTTCATAAATGTTACCATTCAGTGAAGAGCGGTGTAGGCCACGAAAAAGACGACTTAGAAATTGATGTGCAGTGAACCTTAGAACAATCTCTTTCTGATCTCACTGCCGTCAGTGATCAGGGAAGACACTCTTTGTTACCATTTATAGTCCTGGCTATGATCCAGGAGCCTGTTAGGACCAAGAAGGATCAAAATGTGGACCGCTCCGAAGAATGTTGAAGGGGTAGGAGAATAGGGAAAAACTTAGGAAATATAGGTACGAGGAACGGAAAGTCATGTGAGTTTTGCTCATCTAGTTATTGTAACTCTTCATTTGGAAGCTGTGTNGCCATGAGATTTTCGAATTCCCGCCGTTGCCCTCGTACAGTAGTTCCCACACGATATTACGCCATTCAAATTCATTGGTGAACAAAAAACTCAAACGAATCGTAATTTATTTATCGCTATTAGAGTAGTAACGGAACATTTTCATAAATGTTACCATTCAGTGAAGAGCGGTGTAGGCCACGAAAAAGACGACTTAGAAATTGATGTGCAGTGAACCTTAGAACAATCTCTTTCTGATCTCACTGCCGTCAGTGATCAGGGAAGACACTCTTTGTTACCATTTATAGNCTCTTCATTTGGAAGCTGTGTGGAACTCCACACAGCTTCCAAATGAAGAGCAACTCCGGAAGGAGAGCCTTTTGATTCTGTTATCCCCCTGAAGCGATGATGTCGGAAATTTCCAAACCTCTCCCCCTCCCCCGCCCCTTCTCCAATGCGAAGTGATTTTTTATTCCGGAAAGGCTCCCTTCAACAGCTCGAGCTAGAATGAAAAGTAGGCAATCTTCAGGCTGAGGAACCCAGTGCTGCTGCTGATTGGTAGCATAGTAGGTAAGACGTCAGCTTGATCGTGTGCAAGTGGGAGGATCGTTCCAGGGTCATCTCGTTCAGAAAGCTTCGTAAGCGCCATCAAGTGCCGATTATGGCGCAGAACAATAGGTGCCCTCACAACTTCGTCCGATAGAATTATTTTCGTATCCGACACGGTTAGTTCCATCATTCAAGCTCATCTTGCAGAAGAGAAACAAGAAATGGCACTAAACTTCGCTCAGCTACCACCTGACCACCGGCGAAATCTCGGCGAAAATGAAATGGGTATGGACAGTTCGCAATCCTACCGCTAACACCCTCCTCTGATCGAAAGTCTGTGCCTCAATACCCCGTTTTCTATGTAGTTAGAAACCTCTTTTTAAGAATTGATATCTCTTGAGTGAGCGGAATAAGGTGGAATAGACATTTTGTACCCCTCCTGCTCCACTCCAAAAATATTTTGAGTCGCCCAAGCAAACCGCGCTGTCCGAATCATTACTTTTACTCAACCAAAGTGGCTTGTGGTAGGATCAAGGCTGGAGCATTTCATACCCTTAGGAGTCCCGCAGCTTAGAGCACTTCCTTACATCGAAGCTTGGCTTGAGGGTTTATTCGCTCTTTTAAGCTACTTGACAGTAAAGGGTAATTCATGGTAAACCAGAACGGTGGTCAATGTCGACTTTATGGATCTCACTAGTTGCCAAACCATTAGGAGCTGAGGAGTTTCTCCCACCATGAAACCCCACGGCAATATCCCTCCCTCAGTCTCTAATCCCTGAATGACAAACAAAGATCCCATTCGGTTGAGCAGCCTTATTATCAAAAACAATCATCCTTACCTTTTTAAGTGAAGTTTATGTGTTCAAGTCGAAAATCGGCCATTCTATTGTAAACATTTCTTCTGCATTTCTCTGCCCCCTCTCATCCAAGGATTGCCTTCAATCGAACAGTGTGAGATGCGTCGCGGGCAGAGAACGTAATGGGAGGTGCGGCTGCTAAGG